TAATAAACTTTATTTTAATATAAAAATAAAAATTATTTCTTATTAAAATTATAAAATTTTAATATAAGAGAAAATTTCAATTTTCACTATGTTTTATTAATAAATTTAGCTTCTGAGTCATTACTTTTGGTCACCACTGTATATAATAAATAAAAATAAAATTTAATAATTTATAATTATTTCAAAAAATTTAAATCAAAAAATTTAATATAAAAAATAATAAATATTAAATGTTATTATAATATTTTAATAAAATTATTAATTTTAATAAATAATAATAATAAATAATAATTTAGTAATTAATCAAGAATATTTTAATATATTAATAAAGAAAAGAATATAAAAGCAAAAAATAAATATAAGTAATATTAATAAAAATATTAAAAATAAAAATATTAACAAATTATTAAATAATAATATAATTATTTTAAAAATGAATATGAAATAATAATAAAAATATTAAGATTAAGCTATTATTATTATTTTTATCTTTTAATAATTATGATATTAATAATTCATAATAATTTAAAGATGTATTAATTAACTTATAATTTTATAATTAAATTATTTAATTTTTTCATAAATATTTTTCTATATGATTTGTATTTTTTTTACTATATATTCAACAATTTTATTTGTTATTTTATATTTATATATTATCAAATATTTCTTGTAAATTAATAAATAATTATTAAATTAACACAAATTAAAACTTTTAAACCAGTTTTTCATGAATAATTACAATTTTATTCTGCAAATTTTTTGTTATATTCTAAAAAGAATGAAATTTTATTCTTGTCTATCTTTATAAAAGCAATATATTAACATGATTATTCTTTGTTTACTTTTGAAAAAAAAATATGATACCTGCAAAATAATTCATAAATTTGATATTAAATAAGTATTTTGAATAATAATTCTATTGAATAACAAGAAATAAATACTAGTCATTGAAAAATATATTCATTAATACTATATGAATAGGAAATGGATAATAAATAACAAGTTTGTGAATGCCTTTGATTTCTTGATGAAGCCAATGGTAAAAACAGTTAAAAAAATGTAATGATGCATTGTTTATTAATTCGGTGTAACTTCGCGTGATTATACAATGCAGATAATTTTTAAACCATAATGAAAATATTTGCTTTTTATATATAGATCTTGATAGATGAATCGCACCAAATCAAAAACGACAGACGATGTCATCGAAGAGCAAGAAACTGCTATTACAAATTATAACGAACACACGATTCCGCGGCATCTCAAAAAGCATGTTTATTGTTTCTGCATGTTTTGATAATTAAATCGTATTTTTGTCTAATTATTTTTTTTGCTTTTGATTCTTAACATTAGGTATTACAATCAACGGTACATATTGTTTTCTTTGTATGATCGTGGTATTCTTATGGATGAAGGTACTAGAGTTTAAACTATGATTATTGGTTTAGATCGTTTTCGCGAATGCAATCCTAATGGGATATTCTTAGATAATAATAATAATAAGTTTTCGAATAAAATATGATAATAAAAAATAGAAAGTTGGTACTCTGTAACGCCAGAAGACATCGCGCATCACATTGCTGAACGCTGCCGGTGTGATGTTATTATCGATGCATTCTGTGGAGTGGGTGGGAACATGATTCATTTCGCCATGACTTGTAATCTAGGTAAAATATAAATATATTTTTATTGTTTTTTAATATGTATATTATTACTCTTTAGGTTTACGAGTAATGTTTATTAAGTAGTTTTGAAAATATTAACAATAAAAAAGTAATCGCAATCGATAACGACAAAACAAGATTACAGTGCGCCAGAAACAACGCTCAAATCTACGGAGTCGAGGATCGAATAGAATTTATTCATGGGGATTATTTGAAGTTAATTCCAAAATTGAAGGTTTTATTTATTCTTGTTGATTAATTCTATTATTTTTTTTGCAATATCTATTAAACGTGCAAATATACATGCTGTCATTAATATTGCCTATAGGCTGACGTCGTATTCTTGAGTCCACCATGGGGAGGTATCTTTTTCAAATCCTACATATCGAGCGTTAACTCGTTTTCTCTTCTAATATATTCTCATTAATAATATAGGACCTTCCTACTTGAATGTTGAAAAATATGACATAAAAACAATGATGCCAGTGGACGGGTAATTAGAATAGGCTATATCTTCAAATCCTACATTTTTTTATATATTTATTTTTTTTGTCATTCATTTATTAGCGAAAAAATATTTCGGGAATCCAAAAAAATCACGAATAATATCGTATATTATTTACCTCGTAATGTGGATATGAATCAAGTATGCGCTTTTTTGTGTTATTGTTCATAGTAATTATTGTGTTAGTATATATAAATTAATGGATTTTTAAATCTTGATTTGAATAGCTTGGAGAACTTGCCGGTCCTGGAAACACTTGTGAATCACAAAATATCTATGTCAACGATTTTTTGAAAACGCGAGCTGTGTTCTTTGGTGATTTACAGAATGTTTGAGTCGGTAAAGCGAATCATTAGAATCATGAAATAGGTGATTCTGGTGATATCTATCTGGATGAATGGCTTTTTTATTAGTACTTTGGATTGATTATTTAGAAGGTTCGTTTTATCTGTTATAGTTTTTTTTTTGAAAATTTATTGTCTAATAATAATTTCATATTGGATCTAGGAAGAAGCAGCAATATTATATTCCATTTTTTCCAACAAGTTGTCAAATTGAATGAAAGCTAATAGTAGACCATACAAAATCGATTCTACAAAACCTTGATCTTTATTCGAATTAAGCTGAATAAATAGATAATCATAATAATTTCAGAAAGAAAATTAATAAAAAAAATTTATCTATTTCTTTTGTGTAACCATGATTATAAAAATATGTATCAATTTTTTACAATTACCATATAACATCAAGAAGTTTGCAATTTACTATTAAAAATAGAGTTGCAATATGTTTTATTGGAAAATTTTATTATACTACGATTAATTGGAATATTATCTTGAATTTTAATAATTATGTCGTCTTGTTCAGATTTATCTCTTTCTTCACCTTCTGACCGACCAGAACTCGAGGGAAGATCTCAAAAGTATTTGACATACCGTTTTCTTAGCTTCTTCAAGTGACGAATTCTGGATAAGCCATATAATAAAGATGGCCTCCCAACTTCTACGGATTCTATAACATACTAGTGGACGTGGGATTTAACCTCTTTAATAGGCACGCTGATTCCTAATTCTAGCCCCACAAGACACGGTGATCTACAATCCAAATTATACCCTTTTTATATAACAAATGGTATCGTTATCACGCGATATTTAATTTAAATAATTTTCCGGGGAAAGTTTCTGATCGTTATCATCGTTATCATTCCTTAAATCTGATTGATAATTCAGATAACAGCGACGGCATTAAGCGTGCACATACATATGTATGGATAATGCCAACAACGATGATGATCAACCTCTTTATTATACGTATTTTAGTCTTGAAACATGTCGGAACGAGAAGCACAATTGATTCTAGCTAAAGCTGATAAGAAAGCCACAACGTTTGGTTGGTTTGGGGGTAATAAGTTTGAAGAAGCTGCAGAGTTGTATAATAAGGCGGCTAATTCGTTTAAACTGGCAAAGCGCTGTAAGTTGCATTTCTTATGAGCTCGGCGAAGCCATGTGAGAGAGTATAGAGTGTGTTTGTGTATGGTATCTTCTTTTAGGCTGTTGATGCTTCGAGACGAGAGTTTTTTTAAGATACATACGTAATCAACCTTTTTCTTGATACAGCCGCTTAGTGGGAGCTCGGAAGATTGTTTACAAAGAACTGTCATTTAGTCACCCGAGTTATCATGTAGTTCTTATTGAATAGAATCGAGAAAAAAAACCATTCTCTCAAAAATAAAAATCTTTTAATGATGTCTTTAAATCAATCCGTTAATCATACAGGGAAAGAAGCTGGTGATGCTTTTGTGAAAGCGGCGAACATGCAATTGCAATTAAACGAACGTGATGAGGCAGCAACAACCTTTATCAATGCTTCTAAATGTTACAAAAAGTGCAGCTTTGAAGGTGAGCGTATATTTTTATCTATGTATGACGAAACCAAAAATTTCGTGGATTTTAATTATATCTATATACATATATATATATATGTGTGTGTGTGTAATGTAAAGTAATACAAATATTAATGGACGAGAATTTTTAATTAGATGCCATAACCTCGCTAAAGCAAGCCATCGAAATCCTGACTGATCGAGGACGGTTTCAAGCTGCTGCAGGTCATCAGAAAGATATCGCACAGATCTATGAATCGGATCTAGTTGATCTTGAAAAGGCAATGCATTCTTATGAGATTGCTGCAGATTGGTATGCTGGAGAAGAGTCAACAGCGTAAGAATCAATTTATAATTATCAAAAAATTTAAAATTCTTAACAGAATCTTAAAAATTTTCACTTATTTCATATAAAGTCTTGCCAACAATTGTTGGCTCAAGGTGGCCACATTTGCTGCGACTCTAGAACAATACGATAAGGCCATCGAGAAATTCGAACAGGTGGCGAATGCTAATCTCGATAATAACCTAACAAAATGGTCTTTGAAAGATTATTTTTTGAAGGCGGGACTATGTCACATTGCTAATGGGGTGAATATTTATTACATTACATTCTTTATGTTATGAAATTATAAACCTTGAGCCTTTCAATTAACTTGCCTTTCTTGTATTAATAGGATCACATTGGTGCACATAGAGCTATTCAACGATACTGTGAAATGGATGTGACATTTAATACTACACGAGAATGTCAATTTCTTCAGGTAACTTTCTCAATTCAATTATGAATTGAATTTTTCCTTGAAAGATTTTATGCTTGATGGTAACTTGATTTTTTCATTTCTTCACCAAAAAAATCAAAGTCTATACTTGAAGCAGTAGAGGGAGGTGATGTTGAGAACTTTACCAATAAAGTATTAGAGTTTGACCAATTAACCAAATTGGATAATTGGAAGACCACCATTCTGCTAAGGATCAAGAAAAGTATTCAGGAGGAACCATCTTTCACATAATTTGATAATGCTCAGGAAGAAAGAATCTCGAGAAAAAGACTATTCAAGTTATGAATTAATTGAAATAGCAACTAGAACTTATAATTTATTTGATAAAGAGATGAATGAATGATGTAATAGCATGAGTTGATCCAGAGTATTGTTATACCTATCAAAGACCCTTACACGTACATCCAGGGCTATGGTTTCTAATGATGCTTCGTTTTTTTTTCACTTTTTTTTTTCTATGTAGATTATTGAAAACAGATGTAGATAACACTCTTGTTTTTTTTACGACAATTTTCATATTATTTATGCATTCTTTTTATTAGTAGTATATGACTACAAATCATCAAACACATTCATCTCATTATGAGATGAAAACTTATTTATTAATTTTCATCACACACTAATGATGAGAAAGGATACTTTTGGATAGATGTTTAAATCAATGAAATCATTAGATTCTCTATAAATGATCGACGAGTTATTTGAGAAACCTACCAGTTTTTTGGTGATCAGATTCGCATCTTAACGTTAATTAAAGTGTAGCAAAATGGATGTCGTCAAAGCTGTACAAAATTATGTTAGTAAAATGGTCAATGAAGTGTCGGGAATGAAGGTTCTATTACTTGATAGTGAAACGGTAACCAAATACTTTTTTTAATCGCAATAAAATAAGATTAGGAAGAAGTCAGTCTATTAATTATTATAAGTTCACCATATTAAATAAAAAATAAATTGCTTGACAATGATGATAAACATGATGATTCTGATGGGAAAATAGACACCAATTATATCAAATGTCATGACTCAATCTACTCTTCTCTCACACGAAACATATCTCGTCGATCGAATTGAAAATCGAAATCGTGATAGAATGCGTCACTTGAAGTGCGTTTGTTTTCTTAGACCTACCAATGAGACACGACAGCTCTTGATCGAAGAATTAAAGGATCCTTGCTATGGCGATTATTATTTATGTAATTTTTGGTCACTTATCTTATTTGTTAAAATTTTCATTGGATCTTTGTTTCTTCAATTATTTATTCATGTCTTTTCAGACTTTAGTAATACTTTAAAAAAATCGGCTATCGAACGATTAGCAGAAGTGGATGAGCATGAAGTTGTTCGTGAGGTTCAAGTATGGATTATTTGTTCTTTTTATCAATTTCCTTTTTTTCTATTTTGCTGATTAATTAATTCAATGGTTTTCATCCAAATTATCAAGGAATATTATGCTGATTATTGCGCAATAAATCCTGATTTTTATTCACTCAATCTTGGTCCTCCTAATTATCCATTATATGGCGATTCTCCTACATCTTGGGACGGAAAAACATTTCAAAGAGCCGTGGAAGGAGTATTGTCCGTGTTACTTTCCTTGAAGAAAAGGCCTGCGATCCGTTATGAGGGCAAAAGTGCAATGGCGAAAAAATTGGCCCGGGAAGTACAAGTACGTGATTTATCGAATGAAATCCGGATTCATTTTAGAGAAAAAAAGTTGAATATCTCGATCATCATTATCATCTAGCTCTTGGACGATTTTGGAAACAAAGCACATAATTGTAAAAAAAAACCTGTTTCTGTTTACATAGTTACAAATTCAACAAGAAGGGCAATTATTTACTTGGCGACGGACTGATACGCCACCAATTCTACTTATATTGGATCGCAGAAATGATCCAGTTACTCCTTTACTCTCGCAATGGACGTATCAGGCAATGGTACATGAATTACTTGGGATAAATAACGGTAGGGTGGATTTGTCGGAGGTCCCCGATATAAGGCCAGAATTGAAGGTGAGAATAGGGTTATTGTGTCGCTCATTCATTCCCCTCAGCTGCTAAAAATAATAAATCTTTTCATCCTCCTCAAAAGGAAATTGTACTTTCTAGAGATCAAGATCCTTTTTATAAAAAGAACATGTATCTGAACCTTGGTGATCTTGGTGCGAATATCAAATCATATGTTGAAGAATATCAGTCGAAAACAAAATCCAGTATGAACATTGATTCGATTGCGGATATGAAACGATTTGTGGAAGAATATCCAGAGTTTAGAAAATTGTCCGCAAATGTTAGTAAACATGTCGCCTTGGTTAGTGAGTTGAGTCGATTGGTGGAGAAGGAAAAGCTATTGGAAGTTAGTGAACTTGAACAGAGTTTGGCATGTTATGATCAGCATGCAAATGATTTGAAGGTATTCAAATGATCTATTATTATTTATTATGATATCTTTAGTGTTAAAATTAATTTTCTCATCAAAGTCATTATTCTCATCATTATTATTATTACTCAGAATTTACAAAAACTTCTTCAAAATACAAACGTAACTGAAGACAGTAAAATACGTTTGGTCCTTCTTTATGCATTACGATATGAAAAATCTCAAAATAATGCGATTGCTTCACTAATTGATATATTACATCGTAATAATGTCAGCGTACAGAAAATATCGGTACTTTCTATTAATTTCTTTCTTTAATGTCTGTTTAAGAAGATGAAACCATTAATTTTAACCTTGATTTTTTAATAGTTGGTTCAATCAATGATGGAATTTGCTGGCGCGGATAAAAGACAAGATGACTTGTTTGCAAGAGAAGGCTTTTTCGCGCGAAGTAAAACCGTATTTAAAGGCTTGAAGGTAGTGTTTACTTTATATTTTACGTTTTAGTGTTATATTGTGAAAAATAATGCACATCTATTTTTATTTTTTTTATTTTTAGGGTGCAGAGAATGTATACACGATGCATTCACCGCAACTAGCCCAGACCCTTGAACTTATGATCAAGGGTAAATTGAAAGAGACCAGCTACCCATTTATCGAAGAAGCTACAAAGGACAGGTATAAGGCGGCGTTTAGACATAAGTATTTAATAAGCATCATATTAAAATCAATTGTATCAATATTTAATTTGCAGGCCACAAGATATCATTATATTCATGGTTGGTGGTGTAACTTATGAAGAGGCACGTTATGTTGCTCAATTAAATGAATCCACAGCTGGAGTTCGGCTAGTTTTGGGTGGTACTTGTGTGCATAATAGTACAAGGTTTGAATTTTTTTTATTGAATTTTGTATGTGTATGAAATGTATTAAATCAGTTTTTTATATAATACCACATTAAATATAGTTTTTTGAACGAGATTCAAGACGCATTTTTCCGATTTCCAACTATTGGCGGATTGGCGGGGCGAGCTGCACGGTCCGGACGTACGCCTAAACAACGAGCCGTATAGACCGAGTTTTATAATTAAATGGTTTATAGATATAGATGATTGTTCTTTTTTATCCATATTATCAATATTGTTAGTTTTATAGACATGTTCGTGGTTAATTAGTATATCTTTCTTTTTGAATTATAATTGAGAAATTGCAGTCAAACCTCGTTAAACCGAAGTGGTCGGTGCAGTTAGTAAAAAAATTCGTTTATCGAGGGAGATTTACTATAACTGGGAATACGCTAAAGCGTTGCGAGCAGTCCCCTTAAATAAGGGTATTTGTTAGGGTCAAAATTATATTGGTTTTCTTGTAATATTCATTTGTGTCGGATTTGTTTTGCCGGGTCGATCAAAATTTGTGCACTCCTATTAGATGTATATCACATGACTCGCAACGCTTTCTTATAACTTGGCTAAAGCCTGGTAGACATGTGATTTTGTCATGTGATATTTGTGGCTGAAATCACTTCGGAAGAGATTCGGCGATGCAGTCGGAAAATCGATTTTCCGACTGCATGACACGTATATCAAAATAATCTTGGCTTGTTGACTATTGCTTGCTTGCTTGCTATTGATACTTTATATTTGTTTAGAAAGAATTCTGAAAAGATTTTGATTATAAACTCAGATTATATTATTTATTTATAATTTTGTTTTTACTGATATAAATTATAATGATGGATAAAAAAGAATAATTAAACTAATTTTATCAATTAGTTTAAGTTCTATATCAATATTTACAGATATTATTCAATATGGGCATTTTTAAAGATAATTATGAGATAAGATAAAGAAGATTTTATATATTAATTATTAAATAATTTATTCTTTTTATTCCTATACTTTTTCTAGCTAAAAGTCTTAAATTCAAATTAATTAAATTATTTAATCAATGATATATTTTGTCTTTTCTAGACTAAAGAATCTAATTTAAATTAATTATCTTTTCTGATAAAAAGAGCCTAACTAATATATTAGAATTATAATTCTGTAAGATTTTTATAAGTATTTTTTTTGAAGAAAAAATTTTATATGCAATTTTATTTCTGTTTTTTTTTAAGATTCAAGAGCTATTCATTTTATATATTTTTGTTATTTTTTATTATATTAAAAGTGATACTATTCTAATTTTATATAATTTTTTATTATATTAATAGATAAGTAATAATAAAGAATAGCTAAAGAAAAAGCAGCATGATCTATTATACTAAAGATATGAATGATTATACTAAAAAATATCAGAAGAATAATGAAAATTATCATAATATATACAGTGTGATTCATAAGTATCCAAAAAAATTTTTGCAGAAAAAAAATATGCGTAACTCTACCAAATTAAGGCCAATTTTCACAATTTAAAATAGAAAAAAATCATCAGAAGTGAGAATATTTGTAGAACTTCTTCATACTATCATTCATTCATTTTTTTTTCTTGGATATAGTAATAACTTCTAAGCAAGAAATCAATTATCAATTTATTTTACAATTGTGGGGTCAGAATATTCAAAATACCAAAGAAATCTACTCTATAATTAACATATTCTTCTCTATAATATATGATAATATCAATAAACTCAAAAAATCCAACATGAATAAGCATACTGAAAGCAAAGATAGATCCAAGAAGATAATAGCACAAGCATCAAAGATATTAGATCAATATATTCGAAGAAATTTATCTATTTCAACAAGAACTTTAGCAACAAAGTTATCAAAAATCAATATGAAAGTATCTCATCAAATAATTAGAAGATATTTGAATGCTCTTGGATACAAAAAAGTACTTTCATTAGAAACTCTAATACTTACCAAGGCTCATAAATATAAATATGTAAAATGGGTCCAAAAGCATCTCAATGATAATTAGAATGATACATTTTTTTCAGATAAGACAGCTTTTCAACTCTTTTAAAATATAGTAAAGCGCTAGTATAAGAGAGCATAACCAATATAATACATATTCAAGAACTGAATAAAGATCTTTACATAGGGAGGATTCTGTATAAAGAATAAAAGTAGTTTATTTTGCTTTTCTAAAATTATGGATACCAAATTCTATATTAATATTTTTTGTGAGCATATTCTAGAAATAGAGTAATTATTAGGAGATGAATAGTAGTTCTAGCAAGGTAATGATCTGAAGCACACAAGCTGTCTCACCAAGGCATTTCTTGAAGAAACCATGCCTAAAGTTTTGGACTGGCCTTTTAACAGTTCTGATCTGAATTCTATCAAAAATCTCTGATATATTATCAAGAATAATGTGAAAAAGCGCATATCAAAAAATTCAGATGAACTGTATCATTTTATGATAAGTGTATAGAGAGATATCTCCAAGTCTACTTTAATTAATTTAGTTAGATCTATGAAGCGATATTGCAAGCTTATTATAGAAGATAATAGCAAACATATATCATATTAAAAATATTTTAATAAAATTAACTTTTTTTTGTCTATGAAATGTAAAAAAATTATGTGACACATATTATTAGTTGTAGCATGACAAGTAATTTTCTAATTTTAAATACTTATGGATCATACTGTATATATATTATTAATAATATATGCTAAAAAATACAGAAAAATTAAGAGAAAAATTATCATAATCTATAATATTAATAATATATACTAAATAATATAAAAAACTAGAAGATGTAATATAATTTATATATTGAAAAATATTACAAAAAAGAGATACAAGTATAATTACAAACATAATACTAAAGAATGCTAAAAAATAGGAAGCTAGAAATTATATAATATTATAAAATATTTCATAATTAGATGATTTTTTTTATAAATTCAGAATTATAAATTTTAATAAAATAATGATAATAATATACAAAAAGAAAAGATCACTAGTAAAAAATATAGAAAAATAAAAATTCAGCTAGCAGATCTATATTTTGCAAAGATTAAAATATTCTGATTTGTTATTAAAAAAAATTATGAGTTGAATAATATAATAATTTATTTGATTATATATTTAAATCATATATATTATTTAACAAAAAAATTTATTAACCAATTTCATAATTAAGAATTCAATTAATTAAATATGAGAATATCAAAAAGTATAGTAATTAATAAAAAAAGAATCTCAAATAATATAAATTCTATTGAAATAATATAATGAATTTAGTACTTAATTAATAATGTAATTTCTATTATAATAATATAATGAATTTAATACTTGATTAATATTATGATAAATAATTATTTATATAAAATTAATTATAAAATAAAAATTATATTATAATAAAATTTAAAATTAAACTTAAATAAAATACTTAAAATTAAACTTAAATAATATTAACTTAAAACAAATTCTAAATTAACTCTTATTTTTTAATAAATATAACTATTTGTTTAGTATTTTCTCTCTCTTTAACTCTCTAATATAAATTATATATTCTTTCTATCAACTTATTTATGATTTGTCATCAATTTTTGATTGCTTTCTTAGCTTTGATTTTCTTACATATTATAATTTTTACTAGCTCCTAATTTTCATATATCTCAAATTCATATTCTTCAAATATTTGCTAAAATTTTCTTAAGTATTATTAGTTAATAGTTTTCTAGTACCATATATATACTTATAGAAAATATATTAATAAGATAATTAATATTAACAGAAAAAGAGATAATAATAATAAGATAATAATAATTCAGATATTACTTTTTTTTCTTTTTGTATTCTTTTTTTAATAATACAAGCTTTATTAATGATTATTTACTAGATAAAAAAGAGAAACTTATAAACTTTATCAAGAATCTCATAATCAATATTAATAATCAAGATCTTCTTAGTACAAAATCCAAAAGTTATATACTCTAAATCTAAATACTTTTTTATATCAAGTAAAATAATATTATAATATGCATCTAATAAAAAGATAAATTAGTTTTTTCAAAGAAAACTAGTAGTATAATTATATAATAAAAGAAAACTAATAGCATAATTATATAATAAATAAAAATTAAACTAGTAATATAACTGCATAATAAATAAAAAAAGTAAATAATCATATTAAGAAAAAACTTATATCTATTAACTAAACTATACAGAGAAAATATTTTTATTTTAATTTGTTATAATATAATTTTAATAAGTTTATAATAGTTATTTATAAGAGAAGAAGAGAATTTTGATAAACTTAAAGAGTTTACTAATTTATATTATATGCATAATATTTTATGATATATTGCTGAATAATAGAAACTAAATAATTATTAATCACTTATTAAATAAGCTTCTCATAATTAATTTTCATTATTTTATATATTACCTATATTATTTTATTATGAGTTTTTATATAATAAATTTTTTTATCTAAGTTTTTATAACATGCATAGTACAAAAGAAAATATCATATTCTAAAAAAATATCATAATTCTGTTAGCTTTCATATTGCTTTAGTTGACAAGAAAGTACTAAAACTTTCAAAAGCATATAAATTATTAAATTATTTTTAGAACTTCTACTATTATATTACTATTTTCATTATTAATAAAAAAGTAAGTGTTCATATCTTAATACTTATATTCATTATGAATATAAAGTAAATAAATAACAATCATATTTATTTATTTTATATATGAAGTCAATCAATATTAATTAATTATGATACTAAAATTTTTTTAGTTAGTTAAAATATATAAAAACAAAATCTTGAGATTACTAATCTTAGAAAATTTTTTGAAGAAATATTCATTAAGAATTATTATTATATCTATAAAAATTAATAAATATCTCTTTGAAATATTAATATAAATCAATAACTCTAATAATCTTTAATAAATATCTATATTAATAATTATTAATTATTATTAATATATTATTTATTAATATATAATAATATATCAATTATTATCATAATATATTATTTATTAATAATAAATAATATATATTAATAGTTAATTCAAATACTTATTTTAAAATTAGTTTATCATATTAATATTAGTTTAGCTTATATAATCTAAATGAATATGCATACACTTACATATTCAATTAT